TCAATGTTTTATGTTACCATTTTTTTTTTTTTAAATCGATACTAAGAAGTGAAAAATCGATATTATATTGGGCAGCCGAATATCACGATATATCGGCAAAACTATTTTTTCCCACACCCCTAGCATTGACAGTGACTGCCAAATAGATTCTCATTTTGGACAAATTGTCAGAAATGTTTTTCCTACATCACTAGTTACCTAAATTGTGTTATTGTACAGACACTGTACAGTGGTCTAAATAATTTAACTTATCTCCAGTAAATTTTATTGCTTTGATAATTAAAATCCTAAATACTACCTAAAGTTGTGACAGCGGGTCACTCAGTATTACTACACTTTAAATAAAAATCGAAGCAGATGGTTAGCAATAGGTACACTAATAAATTGGACCTTCTACACTTAAAGTTTTGTAAAGGCTGAATATAGCTACCTTTTGCAAAAGTACATAAATTTAATAAAAGGATCTTATATATTTAAAAATACAAAACTTGTTTAAATTTTATGAAAGGAAAAAAAATTCTGTTAACAAAAACAGCCTCTTGAGACACGAGTTATACAAAAATTCAGAACGACATGCGACGAACTCTAGTAGTTATTTTGTGTTTAAAATTAAAAATGCAAAAAAAAAATTAAAAAATTCAGAACAAAATCTGAAGCTTTAGAAAATTATTGTACATACAGATATGTTTCCGGGTAGAAATATAACTAAAAGAAAAAATAATGATGAAATAACAAACGTTATTAACAGCAGGTCAAGGAAAATTGAGACTCACCCACAGTGCCGCTAAGTCCCCTGTCAGCAGCTACCATCAGAGCAGAGCGTCCACTTGTGTCCACGGCATTGATCTCTGCCCCGTGGCGAAGAACCAGCTGAAGTCCTGCAACATCCTCAGAAAATGCGGCTGCATGCAGGGGGGTCCTTTAAGAAGAGGCGGAGACAGAACAAGATGATGAGCAAAGTAATATTTGAGGTTTGTCGATAATCAGGACCAAACATGTATATCTTCTGCTTTGCCCAGTTGAGTCATTTTCACACATGATCCAGAGCCCAAACAACTAAGCACATCTTTAAAAAATCAGCACCACTAAATCTCTTACTAACAAATGTAAAAATATGTAGAGCACGTAATTGCACATCCCTTTTCTCCTCCACCTATCTACAGCCTTCAAATTACATTTAGAACTCGACATTAATAAGGATTAAACATGCCTGTATGTTTAACTTAACGCTAATAAATACACACCTTCCTTTGGCGTCTCTGGTGTTGATCATATGGACTCCGGCAGATTCCAGCAGCCTCTCTGCAGCGCCGCTGTGGCCGTTCATCCTATGATGAAGTCAGTCATTTTAACCACAGACTTTCTTTGTGATCAAATTATTCCAACTTTAAATGTGACATTAATACTCACAGAGCACAGTGCAGGGGAGTGAAAGGATTTCCCTCTTCATGAATAAGTGTTTTAAATTCAAGTAAAACCTCCAAACAGTCTTCATGCCCTGAGAACGAACGACACATCAGCACAGATGCAATAACTGAGACATCAATATTTGGAGGTTCTCCACTCAGCTAACCTTTGTAGGCAGCCCAGTGTATTGGGGTGTATTGTTTGTTGTCCAGCAGTTTATCCTGTGGGTCAGTTGCCACGGCGGCCTGCACCAGACTGGCCAGTATGTCTGTGTGGCCTCTGGAGGCAGCATAGTGCAGCGGTGTCCTACCCTGGGCGTCCCGACATAAGGGAGAAGCTTTGTGCTCCAACAGAGCTGCTACACAGTCATCATGTCCCAAAACTGCCTGCATGAAGACAAACGACACAGATGACTAGACCTATTGTTTCCAGATCTCAAAACATGCAAAGCTGTACCAAACTTTTAACTTTTTAAAGCTTGAGAAATACTTTTGATTACATGGCATCCCTAGGATCAGTGTTTCTTTTTATTTTTTTTTATATTTCTCCTCTGAGGCAGCTTGGGTGGAGCTTTATTTTTCGATATTTGAAGGAATCCTAATCTGACCAGGTTGCCTAAATCATGTGAAAGGACAAACTAATCCATGATGGGGTAACATGGCTGCAAATTATGGAGGGGCTTAAATCAGCTCCAATCAGCAGCCGATGAAACACAACTAAATAAAGATTTTTTTAAATACACACTTACTGGGAACTATAATTATGAAACTAACATTGCTTAGTTTGTTTACTGCATAAAAAATATCCTGGTAGGAACCCTGAAGGCATCTTTTAATCTTTTAAAAACAAAAACTGTAAACCTTCCTGTCAGGTTAGCAGGACACAAATTCATCTTTTAGCTTCTCCTTTTCCTCCAACCCCTAAATGCCGTAGCTAGAACATACCAAAACCCAAGCCTTCCTTCGCAGATTAAGTCTGAATTTTGTTTGAGAACACCGCATTTTAAACATACCCCTCTGTGCAAAGCCGTGTGTCCTCTCTTGTCCTTAGCGTCTGGTTGAGCACCTTTCTCCAACAGGAAGTGAACACAATCAGAGTGACCTCCCAGAACAGAAAGCATTAAAGGGGTTCTGATGGGGAGAAAAGGAAAAAAAAAAAAAGTTTAAGTGTGTTCAGTAAGCAAGATATTTCATGGAAATAAAAAGGTTATTTTTCGGGGTGTCATGTGGAAAAATGTGTATGTCGTATGAAAGCTTGTTTTTTGTGTGTGACATATTTAGAGATGGGACAGCGGTTTCACCGAACAGAAAATACTCTACACACACCGGGAATTCAAATTAAAGCCAACATCATGGTCTGAACATCGATCCACTTTATCCTTACAGTAGACTGCATTGCGCTTTAAGACTTCAGCAAAAAAAAAAACAAAAAAAAAAAAACAAACAAAACAAACATCACTGTTGGTGTTAAAGTTCCTTAACCTAAAACCAGAAAAGAATTGCACTACTTTAGCTTTTATTGCGCTTTTTAAAAAAAGCATGAAAAGACACAAAAAGACCAGGACTTGTGGAACAAATGTCTTTGGGTCGATGAATCTAGAACAGAACTAAAACACCAGAAGAGAAGTCATGTTTGGTGTAAATCAAATGCAGCTTCCCAGGAGAAGAGCATCACACTAGTAGTGAAGCATGAAGGTAGACGGGACACGGTTTGGGGAATCTACACTGTAGGACGTGACCAAATCTACAGCAAGGACTTACCATGACTATTACCATAAACTAAATGAAGTCTGATAACAAAATGGGATTTATAACAAAAAGGCAGAACTAGACTGTGCAAAGTGACAGTAAAACAACCAAGATCTGGCCAAGTCAAAGCCCAGATATGTAAACCAAAGGACACAGCATCAGCTATTAGGGTAAAGGGTATCCCTTTAAAAACCAAAAAAAGATTCATTTAACCACAACTTATTTGCCTATAAACAAAAGAAACAAGACTAAGATAGAACGTCAGATATCGATATGTGAATATTTAATCTGGTGAAATAACTTTTTTCCCCTCATGACTGTAACATTGATTTAGATAATACATCTAAAAGAAAAAGAAACTTACTGGGCAAATTTATCCACGATATTGATGAGATCCCCCTCCTCTCCGTATTCAATCATCATGCGCAGGCAGTCAGAGTGGCCATTTGCAGCTAGCGTCACAAAAAAAGAGGATAAATAAAAAAACAAAACAAAAAAAAACTAATGTTTGAAAACTATGTAAAAGGAAGCTTTTAGTTTTTGTGAAAATACCTGCAACATGAATTGGAGTCCACATAAGATGGTTGTCATTGAGCAAACAGGATGCCCCCTGAGCTAAAAGCACCTCCACACAGCGTGCATAGCCTTTCTGAGCTGCCAAATAGAGCACAGAGCGGCCAGCAGCATCCTGCATGTCCACATAAGCTGCCGTCTCTGTGAGGACGCGTAGGGCCTGCCAGTGGCCCCTATCAGCCTGCGCCAGGGGGGATGATAATTAGCCTCAGTTCTGTATTTAGTTAAAATTAGAGGCTCATTACAAACAGAGAATTGTGTAACACTTACAGCAAGATGGAGAGGACTGACTGGGATGCTGCTCTCTATGTCTCCAAGTGCATTAAATGACATCTCCAATAGCTAAACGTAAGAGACAGCAGATAAAGCAAAACACACACATTTACACCAGAGGAAATAAAGCAGAAACACAGACAGACTTAAATGTGTCAACTTTTTTTACTGGCCGAAAACGATTACCGTTTATGTGTGTGTTATTATCATGAGTAAAGAATTTTATATTAGTTTATACATAAGACTGGACACCCCTTTGTGAAGCGCATTAAGAGCCTGCAATCATCACAGAACAATCGCAGGAGAGGGATAAAACAGTTCTTATGCTCGGAATAAAAAATGCTGGCAGTTCAGTTTGATTGAGAGCCAACAAAGATAATTTGTAGACGACAAAAGACAACCAAACCAGAGATATCAAAAAACATTGAAATAAGCCTTCTCTATGTGGAAGGAGCTTAAGGAGAAAGATTTAAAAATGGATGCCGAAGTTCCCATGTTTCTCCTTCACAAGTTAACTGCATAAGCCTGATAAAACAGACTAAATGTGAGATTAAATGTGTAATTTAGTATGGCCCCGATTAATGAGACATCGGAAGATTGTTGATGAGAACAGCCTGTTTTTCAAACCATGTCTGTGCCTATTGGCCAACGCTCTGACCAATGAGGGCAACTGACTGTGACGTAGTAAGTGCGATACAAAGGTGGGGGGGTGGTGTAAACAAACAGCCTGTCAGTAAAACAGCGAATACGTCCTTCTTAAAAATAAATGAGCGTAGACCTCACATTTCAACGAAAACTCCAAGTCTAATCCTTCCAAAACTGATTCCAAAGCAGACTCAAACAAAACTGTTCAATAGTTGACGCAATCTTCCTATTTGTGCTTTGTCCAGCGTCACGCAGCTTTGTCGTCCCGCCCTCAAAACCCGCCCGCTTTGCATCCAGAAATTCAAAACACATCTCTGTGTTGCGATTGGCCCGCCAGTTCTAGGGCCTGGGGCATTGATCGAGGCTAGACCACTCACAGGCAAAAATGATTTTGGCCGCTGGCAGGTGGGGCTAGTTTATGAGGCTAGAACTGCACTGCTAAAATTAACACAAAGGCAACTTTTTCTATCCAGTTCAAACAGTGTTGCTTGTTACCATAGAAAGCATAAAGGTATATCCTTCTAACATAACTCGTTGGTACAGAATTGTAGGTCTACATGGGTTTAGTAGGTTTCAAAGCCCTGGCAAAAGAATGCTGGGTTATTGTCAAAGTAAATGCCAACCCCCTTTAATTTAACAACAGCAGCAAAACCATATAAACATTAATTTCAACGCTGAGTGTGTTGATACATTTCTTCTTTTTCTTTATTTATTTATCATATACTAATTGTAGGGACGTACGTCGACTAAAATTGCAAACTAGCTAGCCAGAAACTAAACAGACAGCTGATTGATGATACTGCAACACTGATTAGCAACAGAATGTTGCCCTAAGATAACGCTGGCAGCTAAAGGATACATATATAGTTAAGAAATCACAAACCTCTTCACATAATTTAAAACTCCATAAACGATCAGATATGGTTACATTGCCGTTTTAAAGGCTTTTGACACAACTGCTACCTTTGCCACAATACATTTTTGATGCTGTGACATGACAGGCTACAGTGCTCTTTGAGTGAAATACCCCCATTTCACTGCTAGATGACAGTAGTTCTTACGTAATATCCCTTTTAAGTAAAACCTAACAGCTCAGTGTGATCTGAAACCTAAAGCCAGGTCTCTAAAAGTTAACGTGAATAGATGAACAGATCTGATGCAGTTATGCTGAAAAGCTCAAACAGAAACCTCACCAGCTCCAGGTTCTGCTTGTTGCCGTGGTAAGCTGCATAGTGAACAGCACTGTAACCTTTTGAGTTGACCATAGATGGATCAGCGCCATTGTCCAAAAGATGCTCCAAGCAACTGTTAAAGAAAAAGCAGCGTAGAGCAGTTATTCAGCCACTGGTCTGTCACAACCACATTAATATATTCGTAGGTACAATCACCATTGGAGAAAATAAAGACTAGGAGAATAAAAAACTCACAAGTAGGACTCCTTTGTCTCATCCTCAGTAATTTGATGGTTCCCAGAATAATGACGATCAGTTCTGCAATCCAATTATTAACAGTTACTAAAAAAATGAGCTAAACAATGCTTGGCCTAGAGTGAATAAATACTGAACAATAATAATAAATTTAAAAAAAACACTGAGGCAAATAATTTTCCTTAGACATAGAAAATTAGTTTTATTAGACTTATTATAACTCTCTAGGAACACCAGTTCTCCACCCCCACAGAGCAGAGTTCACATAGTTAAAAGTTATTATTAGGCATTTTAGCAAAGGAGAAAACACTTCACACAAAACCTAAATTTATGCTCGGGAACATAACATTTGTGGAGGCTCCAATTTGGATACTGCAGCTCTGATTACAGTAACTATGTGAAATCTGGTTTCGCCGTTTTGTTTCAGTTTCAGAATATTTTTAAACCCATGCAGTAAAGCCGGGCGATATGGCTTAAAAATCAAATCTGTCTAAGTTTTTCCTACCAAATCCAATTTATCTGTATTTTCCTTTCTTTTTTTTCCTCTTACACTTAAAGGTATAGTAGAGGATGTTCTTTTTCCAGGTGGATCATCTGGATAAGTGGTCCTCCTAATTTTCAATCATTTTGGTGATATGTTTACATAACCCCGTCCTATGTGCTTGTCCCTCTTTTCACTTACCGGTGGAGAGTCTGACATAGTGGGAAAAATTGCAAATCTTATTTTGGAAAGTAAGCTTGTATGAGTGATGCAAACAGCAACTGTTAAACAGAGCGTGCACGCTCTCGCACACGTTTAATAGGCGTTCCCTCTCGGGAGCGGATACAGGGTTCTATGTGGATTTTTTTTTATTATTAGCGAAAATCCTGCACTATACCTTTAAGTTTCATGATAAAAAGGACAAAAGACAACACTTCCCAAAACTAAGTTTGTCTTCCCCCTCTGGCAAGGGACCTTAAATGAAATGGCAATAAAGTTCAAGCCATGAATTCTGCTTGTAAATAAAGTTTCACAGCAATGAAAATTCAGCACACTACAGGTTTACAACTAAAGGCAACACACAGAGAGACACTTTATCAGTTACGAGTATACATCGAAGAAACAAAAGTGATGAATTGAGTCTGGAGGAGTGGATTAGTTAAAAAAAAAAATCTTCATTTTACAAAAAACAAAATCTTTATAAACAAAAAATTGATTAATCATTTTTATTGATTAATCCTCAGCCCCTACCATATGACATTTATGCCCGCAGAGTCATTTTAATTTCCTCATACTAGAAATAGTCACTGATTTTATTGAGAGGCAATTAGGAGTTATTTAGGGACATCACTAACCGCTTGGCAATTGAAGGTTTAAAGTTTTTTTCTTGCTAGAAGTCTCCAGAACCTCTGACCAGGTTCCCAGTTCCCTCTTCACATATTTTAATACTAGCAAGGCCGAGATGGTTTCCTAAGGCCAATCTATTTCATGTAGTGATAGTTTTCTGCTACATCAGAGTCAACTTTTATCCAACTAGAAAAAAACATTTTCATTAGGATTTTCCCTACATGCAATCTTTTAATGACAAAATGCTCTTCTAGCAAAAGCGAATAATACATTTTTTCAAACCAGGGGTCACTTTCTGTACAGAAAAAAAAAAAAAAAAAAAAGAGCTACCTTTAGTTGGTCTGTCACTTTGCATCCCAATTAAATTAAATTCAAACTTGTAGTTCTAACCGAAGAAAAATTAGGAAAACCTGGTTTGGCTCGGAGCTGTATCGATTCATCGAATAATTCAAGGACCTTGATTGCTGAAATAAATTACTTATTTGTCTTCAAGCTTTGTTTAATAATCCACACACTAAGTCCCAGGCAGTACTGATAATGATAACCTATCCTGCTGATAAATGGACGCCAAGTGCAGCTATCAGCAATGAGCATAAAGAAGCGCAGAGGAAGAGGGTTTAAAACTTTGCAGTGAGCCTGCTGGCATCGAGCAGCAGCTTCTCTCTAGGCAGTACTCAATGCTAAATTACTTGGCCCCAATGTTTGCTCTCGGCAAAAATAGTTTGGAAAAGTCAGCCAGATACAAGATCATAGCATCGAGTGAAAACAGAGAAGGGTGCAGCTTTGAGGAGAGGTTTTATTACGCATTAAATTTAAATCAGCAGTTTACATTCTTTTGATAAACATGTTTTTGTCAAGATGAGCATTCAAAACCCTGTTTTATAATAAAAGGACATAATAAAATAGGACTAGTTTTTCAATGTTTACAAAAAAAAAATCCAGAATACATAAAAAGTGAAACTTGATGCACTTTTTTGTTTATGACCATTTTCATAAGCAGTAGCCTGCATTTAATGTTAAGTCAACCAGAAAAGACAAGAGCTCAATATTTGTGTTTGAATCTTTAGTTGCAGATGCATCCTTTTTAGTTTCCTTTTAAAAAGGTGAATTTGGAAATTTCACATATTTCTACAATTCACAATAATCTTAAATGATTAACTTAACAATCTGCTAAGTGAAACTTTTTAAAATTGATTACTCCAACGATAGAATGATCAATTACTAAAACAATCCTTTGTTACAGCCCTAGTTTGCAAGGTACTGCATGAATTTAAGAAATGTGTCCTAAAAAGTCACTGCAGAGTTTAAAATTGGAGTAATCGGGAGGAGGAAACAGGCTCCTTACCTGCTGAAGGCTTGCGAGGCAGCAGAGTAGTGCAGGGGAGTACAGCCAGTCTGGTCTTGTTCATTAACCTCAGCACCAGCATTAACCAGGGACACAGTGCACTGGTACCTCCCATTAGCAGCCGCATAGTGCAATGGTGTCCTACAGAGAGCATGCCAGGGGAAATTAGGCAATCACTTAGAAATGCACCTTGATTTATCAACTTAAGGCAGGATGATGCAAAAACTTACCTTCCCATTATGTCTCTCTTGTTCAGATCAGTACCGCTACTTAAGAGTAAGTTCAGACATTCAACATTTCTGTAAAAAACGTAATTAGAAAAGATAAATGTAGACAAATGCATGTGTTTGCTGAAAATGTGCCACTAAGTGGTGTTATTTACCCTCCAGAGGCAGCAGCGTGCAGACAGGTTCTCCCAAAGTTGTCAGGGGTGTTGATGTCAAACCCAGCTGATAGCACATGCTCTTTACTCATAGATGAAACTATACTATACAGCTGACCTGCAGTGACATCAAACAGATCATTTGAATGGGGGAAAAACACAAACATAAACAACTGTGTGCAATCAGGTGAACACATCTGTAAAACAAACCTGAGGAGAGTAACTTGCGACAACAGTCCGAAAACCCGTACAGCACAGCTAAGTGCAAGGGGAACATTCCATGGATCCCACGTCTAAGAAACAAAGAACAAAGGAAAATAAAACAGCTTCAGCAGAACTGACCTGCTTAAAACGCTCTACACCAACTTAATCTAAACAAGAACTTAAAATAAAAACAGCATTGTTCCTATACCTGGCCGTGTCTGCTCCATTGGTCATCAGAGTGCTTATCAGCAGTTCATGGCCATACTTAGCAGCGACGTGGAGGGGGGTATTGCCATATTTATCCACACAATCAATTTCCCCACCTGATGCAAACCCAAAAAAAAGAGAAAGAGCATTAATTACACAGCAGAAAAGAAAACACGGTGAGAGTTCTTTGAATTTAGTGAGATCGTTAAGTCCCATTTACCATTTTGGATGAGGATCTGAGAACGCGTGAAGCGTCCATGAATGGCTGCCATGTGCAGGGGGCTCTTTCCTTCTTTGCTCTGATGAGAGAAAAACAAATATCATTACTATCAAAGTTTTGTGGTTTTAATGTGTGAGGGAATGATCAACTGTTTAACACGGAAAATATTAGACATATTTCATCCATGCTACTCCACCAGAACTTAATTAACCTGAATATTTTATTACTTTTGCACAGAATGTAAAACATTCACTTGGAACTAGGAATGTCCCGATTAGAGCTGAAATAATCAACCGGATTAATTGATAATTGAAATAATCGTCAACTATTTTAGTAATTAATAGTTTAATGGAGTACAGAGACTCTAAAACATGACAGACCAGCTGTGAATTTTGGAAGGACTGCATGTTTCAGCAACATCAAAGAATGCAGCAATACTAAAAATAGAACTGCTTCTGTTTTACCCCTATACTATAAAAACTACATTTAAAAAGACACTATTTTTGTGAGGTTTACAAAAATATTTGAATTTTTTTCTTCATCTTGTAACTGGAAAAAACAAATAGGACATGAGATCTGCTGTGATAAAGTAAGAAGACACAATCTGGTGGCTAAAGATCTTGTCAACCTCTCTGTTTGGAGTTGAGTCTGTAGATATTTTGCAGGAATGGTCTTTGCCTGAATAAGTCAACTTGCTTCTTTTCATACCTGCTGGTTGACGTCGGCCCCATTGTTGACCAGCAACTCTAAACACAGGGCACCATTGGTGGAGACGGCAGCCAGGTGCAGAGGGGTGAAGCCACACTTGTTGGGCTGGTTGACGTTAGCTCCATGGTTCACCAGTTCAGTGGCCACAGCCTCCTGCCCCATGTAGCAGGCCACATGGAGCGCGGTGTTTCCAAAGCCATTGGGTTCATCAATCTGACCATGAAACAACAAAAATCATCTCAGGGAAGCTCCCAAAAGAATTTAAAAGAGCTGACCAGCCTTAACAGGTGCTTTCAACAGAAAAGCCTATACAATCCCTCACCTCTGTTCCCATCCTCAGAAGGTACTTTACAATTTCGATGTGACCGCTTGCAGAAGCAGCATGGAGAGGTGTATAACCCAGCTTATCCTTGCAGCTCTTGTCAGCGCCACGGGATACCAGCATTTTCACAACCTCCAAGTGTCCTGTAAAAAACATCGAAACAACAATTATCAACAGTAAATTTACAGAAAGCAACATCTTCAGAAAAGCCTGTTTAACATATTTACTGCAGAGTCTCTTTCACATCCAAAATTTATTTGTATGTTATTTTTATTTATTTTTGGATAAAACTAATGGTAAAAATTAATTAGATAAACTTTATTGTACCTAAAGAAATTTGATTTCGGTACAGACTCTGGCTGCTACATAGTCCAAACTATGTGTCACACTGCATTTACACATAAAAACACCGCTATACAAATTTCATTATAAGACACTAAATAAAAACATTAGCAACATCTGGGATGCAGTACTGACATGACAGAAACTATTTTTATTACCCAAAAAAGCAGCACAATGAATAGGTTGTCTCTCCTTCTTATCAATGGCACTCAGGTTGGCTCCTTTGTTCAGCAGCAGCTTCACCATCTAGACAAGAGTTTCAATAAATTTAACAAGGAGAAATTAACAGAATTACTTAAACTGTAAAGAATAACTCTAGGGGTTAATATATTAGGGCTGAAACAATCTGATTAATAGATAAAAATTAAAAAAAACTTACTAATTTAGTAATAACTAAATGTCATAGAGACTCTAAAACATGTTTTTAGCTGATAGAGCAGCAATTATACCAAAATTGTAGTTTTTTTCCATCTGCCATTATGCTTTATCCAGAATACACATGGAAAAGCTTTAGTTTGACCTGATTTATTCAGTAAATTTCAGGGACCTTTTTTATCTGATTATTAGTCGATTATTAAAAAAATAAATAATTGACAGATTAACCAAGTACTAAAATAATCGTTGGTTCCAACCCTAATAATAATCCATGCAGTCACACCTCTTGGAAACCGCTCTCTGTCGCATGGTGCAGGGCTGTCCGACCAGTGCGATCTGCCATGTTCAAGTTGCTCAGCTGGGTCAGCAGAGCCTCAGCGCAGCGAGTGGCCCGGTTGGACGCAGCCACATGTAGCGGCGTCTGCCAGAACTTGTCTCTCGTGTTTGCCTCAGCTCCGCGCCTCAGCAGAAGACCCACCGCCCTCTGAAAAGAAACCAAGTTTAAATAACAAATGTTACGGTTGCAGCTCCCATTAGTTTTAAGAGAATTATTTTATGCAGTTATTATACATCAATATATTTTTAGCTGTAATATTATAATAGTTTAGTAGTAGTAGCAAACGTCACTGCTGTTCTGTTCACAATTTGTGAGTTCTGAAACTTGCAATATTTCATGTAATTACATACTTTAGAACTCTAATAAACATAAGTAATAGAAAACAAATGTGTTGGATGCAGCATGTAATACAAACATAATAAGTCAAAACAATACTCTTCACATACTTCATTCCTTGAAGCAGCCGCCCTGTGCAATGGGGTCAACCAAACGTTGTCTTTAGCATTTACGCTGGCACCTGAAAGACATGCAAAAACATCTGTTATTAGAAAAGTTCACACTTATCTACTAATAACATACCATTTTTTTGCTCTAGAAACTTATTTTTTCTTTGTTCTTAAAATAGCATTCTAGTCATTTATGGAGTTCTATAAAAATGTGCAAAAAAGACATCTTTGGATTCAAAGGTAGTTGATAATTTCCCTGTCCTACAGTGGATGCTGGTTGAAAACACACGGCAAACAAAATGGGCAGCAAATACAAAAAGTAATGCACAAATTAAAATAAGACCAAGGCACGATGAATGGCATGTAAAAACGTTGCAAAGGAGAAATGTTACAATCACAAAAAATGTGAATGTGCTGTAAACACATATGATGCCAACACACTAAACATTCAATTCAATTCAGTTTATTTAAACAGTGCAGATTCAAAACGCATGTAATGTCAATGCACTTTACAGTTCAATTCAGTTTATTTCTATAGCGCCAATTCACGACACGTCATCTCAAGGAACTTTACAGTTCACCAGATCATACAGTCAAATTGATTCAAAGTTTTCCATCTAAGGAAAACCAGTTGATTGCAACGACTCATCGACTCAAAGGCAATCCCTCACACTAAACATGCTTGTAGCCAAAATGGTATGTAATGGAAATATGTAATTAAGAAAAGCTGCTGGCTAGCTTTGAATAACACAAGTGCTCCAGACCACTAGGGGGAGACAATCATCAAGTCTAAAAACTTTGGTATAAATCAACCCCTGTTCTAATTCAGTAGCGGGATTACTTTTTATTTAAGTCTTAAAAGGTCCCGCTCCATGTTGCGTGGTGCCTTCAAAAAGACCTCAAAAACAATAAAGGCAGAAAGTAATCAGCTTTAAACCTAATGCCAGGCTCGCACTGACTATGGTGTGTGCGCCAGCAAAGGAACCACACCCTTGAAAGCAGTGTGTACACTGATGTTAGAAGAGAAGCAGTTACTGAGGACAAATGTTTCAGCAAGAAGAAAGTTGGGCAAAATGCCACAGAGGCCCCAGAATTAGGAATCTGAATTTCATGAGCCAAACAGGAAAAGTCAGGCGCCGCACATGATAATCCACCTACCAAATTACACCCATTTGATTGACGGAAACAACACAGCAAAACACCAACATGCTCAAACAGAGGGGATCTTGGTGGGTGAAAAGGTTTTTTTCTGCCAAAATAAGGCTTTGCCCAAGAACTCCCGGAAATAAGTGAGAAACATTGTGAACTGCTGTCTTTGCAAGTGGCATTTCCCCCGAACCGAGATGTAGCTGGACAGGGCTGAGGCGTTTTAATCTTCATTATTAACCAGGCAATGTCAAAAATTAAACAAGACATGCATTTAGTTGTCTGTATTTTTATCTCTTTTTTTTAAAAGAAATTAGGATAAGCGATGTTCCTTTGGAATATAAAAACTACAAGAAGTACCTGTGTAAAAAGTACTAAAATGAAAAATCCAATTTATAATAATAAAATGACATTTTTTTATCCACAAAATTGAGGATACATTCATTATTGTTCTCTGGAACCCAACTATTAGCTCCAATTTGTTTATTTATTTATTTTTAGCTTATTTAAACCTTAAGAGATTTCAACAGGTGTAGTGGTAGGAATATGCTAAAGATGACCTCATTTTTCCATCTCCGGATATACCCTCAGCACATAAAATGTATGTAAACAAAAATTGTTGTCTTGAAGCCTAACTTCTATCTAAGCCAAGATTTATTAAATAACAAATAAAAGACTAAAATGCTCCAAAGATTAACATTACAACATAATCTTACTGAATGAAGTGTTTTTTACTTCCAAGCAGAAGTTTAAACATGCAGATATGTCAAACGAGGTGCCGAGAATAAGATGTCTTCTCAGGAAGACAAGGGAGTAAATTCCCCTGATTGGCTGAAAGCTGCTGAGGTTAGCAACCCTAGCTCAGAAAAAAAGTCTGAGATCTTTTAAATTAAGTGGAATATTGATAATCCGAGAAGCTATCTGATTTGAGAAACCAACAGTCCAAATACCAAACATTTGAGTCGCAGAGAGTTATATTGGTCAGCCGCATTTACAGGAGTCTATGGAGGAATGGGGGATTGGGACAGCCTATATCACAGCATTTGCATCAGTCTGCAAATGCTGCCTTCAAAGGAAGTCTGTAAACCAGATCCTGAGGAAAAACAAACAGAACGCCCAACCAGAAGACATTTGGACAGAAGAATGAACAGGTGCGTTTTTCTGTGAATCGTTATTTAACACATTACCCCCCTGAGAATCTCGCTTATGACTTTAGTGAAGGTCTGGTCCCAAACAGGTTGGCAATCATCTCCCCCTAGCGGCCTGGATCACTTCCATTACACTGTCACACTTTATAACTTGCAGTTTGTTTGTTTGTTTGTTTTTTTTTGTTACTAACAGTGTTTTCCTATTTGCATGTGTTTAGTTTGTTTGCATCATCTATGTATTTGCACCAGGTTTTGTATTTGCATTGCAGCTCCATTTTCTGTATTAGCAGCATTTCTTTTCTGCATGTGTTTTATTTAAGCTTTTTTTTTTTTTTTTTTGCAAGTCTCATTTTTTGGGTGTATGCATTGCTTTTCCTATTTCCCACTCAATGTTATAGTGCACTGGCACATCTCAGCCATCCTACCAACCTCTTAGAAAGGGAGGGGTGAAGGGGGAGGAAACAAGGGGTAAAATAAATGGGATTAAGTCTTACATAGTATATATCCTGTTTGACTTAACGAGCACCAGGCTATTTCTATAATAAATGCAGAAGAGTCACCTGATTCAATGAGGAGGTCCATAATTTGGACATCACCCACACAGGCAGCAGCATGAAGTGGTGTGCGGCGCTCTTGGTCCTAAAAAAATAAATACATGAAATATGTTGCATTAAGAGTTTAATGTGCATTTTTATATATATGCATTAAGACTACATACCAGTGCATTGACATCTTCTTTTCTGTGCAATAACAGTTGAACTTCTTCAGTATTACGACTGAAGATGGCCTGGACCAGAGGAGGCTGAAACAGATAAAAGGTCGCCTGAGTTACATGCAAAACGATGCACAAAACGAAATAAATAAATCAAAGAAATTTAGTGCAAAAACAACCCTATAACTAATCCAGATCAATGCCCTAGAATACGCGCATCCTTCGTAGCGCTACGGTCTAACTCAGAGGCTCCTCATTTTTAGAAGAAAATGGTTAAAGATATTAGCATGACGGTAAAACTATAGTTAAAGAAAATAACCATATTAAATTAAATATGGAGTTTATTATTTTTATTGCTTTTATTATTAGGATGGACCAAGCCCTGGTCGAGGCCTACAGGCCCCATTCGCTGCTATTACGTCAGCTAGCTAAACGGCTAATGCTAATATGCAGCTACGGAGCTGGCCCCGGACCAAACTACGGTCCATGTACCGCTTCCTAACACACAAACATTACCTTTCATCAAAAAATAAATGGAATATTTTCCTCAAAAGGCGCAAACCTAATAAAATATGCACGCAGCAAATAAAAACATACAAGAGCACTCGAAGCAGTTCGGCGAAGACGTAGCATGTTGCGCACTAGAGCAGGTTCATTCCAGCAAATAGACTGCGCCACAACACAAACACGGAGCGCTTTCGCTTCAGCCTACCTGGTCTGTGATGTTAAGTACTCCCATCTCCCAACTCAGCCAGGACGGAGCTCCTTCATGAGGATAAAACTTCGAGGTAAAGCTGCAGTGCAATTAGTATTTCAAACTCATCAGACTACACCCATAACTGAAAGCAAAAAAAAGAAATGCGGTCTTTCTCACTCGGTCTGTCACTGTTGTTGTCTGTACCCTGCGTCTGGTCTGACGAAGGCGGTGGTCCGCCTACAGGCGTGGCGGTCCGCTTTCTGCTTTCGAGATTGAAATGTCGACCCCTTGTGGCAACAAAAGGTAAAACATACGCAAGAGCGCAATAAATATTCTGAAGGTCAATGAGACCTTTGATACTTTTGGAGAACACAAACAGCCCTTTTCCATTAGTACAGAGTAGACTTCGACTAAAATAGTGATTTAAAAAAAGCAAAGTACATATACTAGAAATATGATACAGAAAAACTTAAAGCTGAATTCAGATCTAAGACAATCTTTTGTAAATCAATTTGTTAGGATGTATGTATGTATGTATGTATGTATGTATGTATGTATGTATGTATGGATGGATGGATGGATGGATGGATGGATGGATGGATGTGTGGATGGATGTGTGGATGGATGGATGGATGGATCAGGTGGTTCCC